GGGGAGTAGAAATACTCCTAGTCGCTTCATGCTACAGAAACCGGGATAAGCTCCGGCCTGATGGGCCACTTGGCTCGCATGCAGACTTTACCTTACCTTGAGGCATTTTAAGCAACCCCTCCCCCCTCCCGGAGGTCCGTCTGGATTCGTAGTCTCCCTGTGCAATTTTCTTTAAAAAGTTCAAGTTTTTTTTGTTTTGTTTTTCAGCTTGGGTTGGTTCTTTATCCATTGCAGTTTGTCAAGGATGTGGTCCATTCGTTGGTTCTCTGGTAAATCGCTTTGGCTGTCAAAAAGTTTCTATTGCTGGTTGTGTGACATGCGCAATCAGTTTAACAGTAGCCTCCTTCGCTAACGACTTGGCAATTCTGTACGTGTGTTACGCTGTCTTCGGCGGTGGCGCAAGCTGCGTTTTTCTGTCAAGCTTAGAAATTGTCAGAAAGTGTTTTGACCAATGGAGATCAATTGCGCTCGGAATCACCTCGGCTGGTCAGGGCCTGGGTACAATGGTTCTCAGTCAAATCCTACAATCTCTTGTCAGTTCTCTCAGCTGGAGGAATTCTTTGAGAGTTGTTGCAGGTTGTTTGGCTATAACCAGCTTCTTTGGTCTCTTGTATGATTCAAAGATAGACACTGCAAGCATCAGTGAGATGCATACAAGTGAAGAGGCTGAGCAGAGACGAACGTCCAAACGTTTTACGTTCCATTGTTCGGTATGGAGGGTTCCTGGTTTTCCTGTACTGACAGTCCTCTTTAGTTTTGTAATGTTTGGGCGCGCAACTGTTTTCGTACATTTGGTAGGTACTAGTATTCTTTTGTATTGTTTTGATTGTTGGATAGTGTAGCACCGCACAGTGCAGTTCAATATGTCTTGTGGTAGTTTCAGCGATCAGCTGATCTGATTTAGAATCGATCGGAGAAAACGGCTTGGGAGAACTCCATAACGTTGTACCCTGCGACCGGATACGAGTAGCTCAGCCAATGAAATTGCAGCATTTGCAGTAGTATTCTAGTGGAATTCTACTAACTGCAACTGATTAGTAGAAATCTACTTGGCCGAGTGATCGTAAAATTTTAGCCATCATGCAGTGTGCAGTGGCTGGAGGTCGTAGATGAAGATCGAAAGTGTGCCAGGGTGTCACGATTGCTTTTGGTTCTACTTCTCATCGGATGAAAAAGTGGTGCGAGGTTTTCAGTCAAGCAAGGCAAACCTAAAGCAAACGAGAATTACTTTGGACGCTCGAGTAAAATCCGCTTAAAATATGTTTACACTAACTCTCACGCAATATATTATGTCTATTATTCAGGTTAAATACTGTGAAGATCGTGGTATGTCTTTTGACGCATCATCAAGGCTCCTGCTTTTCATGGGAATACAAATTGTTGTTGGACGTTTTGCATGCGGGTTTCTCTGTTCCTACAAGCGGCTGGACAACTGGTATATTAATCGAAGCTTGTTGCTGGTAAACGGTACATCGACGATTCTTCTTACCTTGGCTCAAAATTACGACGCGTTCATTGCATACGCCGTGTTATTTGGTTTTTGTGATGGAGCTTGGGCTACAGTTAATAACATTCAATCGCTTACGTGTGTGGATCAATCTGAATAGCTTTAACCGGGAAATTTTGTTCAACTAGTTTCACTTCTACGTTCGGGGGCTTAAGCATTTCCAGCACAAGCATTTTACGAGCAATTTTGGCAGTGACGTTCACAGAAGTGAGACTGT